CACGATAGAGATAAGCGATTACATTGAAAGACAGATTAAAATAGAAAATGAAACAAATTTCTCTTTCTATTCCGTATAATTTACTCTTTCCTTTTTGAGCAGTCCATATCTACTATTATTATTTATACATATAGTCGATATCAAATGATCTTTGCCATTTTTCTTGTGTTTAAATCGGTTTTTATCTTTCGTTCTGTTGGATCGTAACTGTTCATTTTTCTTTTACTTTTACTTTCTTAAGAAAACAATACCTGATCGCATTTGTATCCCTTTTTGAATGGTAGGATTCCATTGTTGAGAGATATATCTTTTATTGTTGAAAGAGCGATTAGCGATCCAGTAAACAGATTCTAAATACTCTCGACGAAAAGTAGCACGCTCGTAATCAAAAATTTTACGCTTGTCGAAATTCATTTTGCACGCTCCTTTACTATCAGAAATGTGTTTGACAACTAGTGATTTCTCTATATGATTTTTTCGAATAGCTGCTGCGTATTCACCGATTCTCCTATTGAAGTTATTACTCTGACTAGTGTATAAATCACCACAAATACACGGGATTCCACATACAATATTTTCACCCTGTCGATTTTCATTTTCTTTTCGTTTACAGGCTATTCGTTTTGTTTTATTTAAATACATTCCAATAGTTCGATTATGTGTAACAAAGATTGGAATGCTTCTGTGGCCTAATTTTCGTTTAATCACCTCTGTTACACCATTCAAATGGGGTATTACAACTGTAGCTAATTTCTCGGAATCTGGAAGTTTTTGGTTTTGCGTCTTATCAATTGATCGATTCAATGAATGATTAATTATTTTCTCTGGATACTTACTATTAGACAAAAGCGTTCCCAGCTTCTCGAAATCTTTTTCGTTTTTCTTATTATTATTTGCAATGTTAACCCTGTCTATCATATTCTTTATAATATTATGTTTAATGGAAATACAATGATCTGACGCGAAATTTGACAGTCGATTAGATGCAAACGGTTTCGGAAACCAATTTGTTTTGAGCTCTTTGTTGTGAGTATCAACGGTTTGAAGAATATCGAGAAATGGTAAACTATGATTTTTTAAAATTCATCTGAATTCGTACCAGTGAAAACAACGAGAGCTAGAAGATAGAGTTTTTCCAGTGCTACGAAATGACGAGCGTTAATTTTTTCATGCCTTAAAAATTCGAAGAATAAAACCAAACAACTGTTTTCTTAGTTGGAAAGTCGGCGATCTCGAAATTTCTCAGTATTTTTCATGCAGTCTTTCACTTTTGTGTTTAATAAAACACTTAGCACACATTTTGTGGAGAATTTGATGGCGCATCTTCTGAAAAAAACTTATGACTGAGCCTTGAAACGAAAAAAAATTATCGTCAAAATACGGAGAGGTCCCAGAACTCATGCAACACCCTTTAGGGGCTGAATTCTTGACTTTCCAGGAACAAGCAGAATTTGAAATGATACTTAATCACTTAAGTGACACTTCTAAACTTAAACACTTGGAGGTGCACACACTTAAAGTGAGGTTTTTCCCGCTTGAGGGATACCCTTAACAATAGAGATGCACTAAATCTCAATTCATACTTATTTAGGGTTTAGGGTACACAAATAAATTGGATTTAAGTTTGGCATAGAAATTTTAAATTCTATTACAACAATCACTTCCAACACATTTTATTATTCGCATTTTTTCTATGGAACCATAATTTGAACTATAGTTCAAATTTCTTCCCACTAGTACAAATATCAATATATAAGGAATTAGTAGAGAGTGATAGAATGTATTACGGATTCGTCTATAATACAAATGTAATTGAACCTCGGCGTAATTGTGTAGTTCGACTCCTTTTACGTTTGTGACTTGTGAAGTGTAGCAATGAACCGTTCGGTCAATACGGTAGACATATAGGGTTTCAGCGGCAAGGTTCCATTTTGACTCACCCGTATTAGTAATCCGACTGTTCAAAGCGTTAGTATTCTCGGGTACACACTCATCATGAGATCCTAGCACAGTTTGAAATGAACTGTATACGTAGAAGGTTGCCTTACCGGAAATAATTAATAAATTACTTCTTTTAATATTTCTGTTCTAGCAAAAAACCGCTGTGAACCGCCTATATTCCAAACAGTTTTGTAGAGAAAACGTCGTCGTTTTTCAAAAAGCCTCACTCAACCGCTGTCTTTTCAAAACAGACCCGCATAGAACCGCTTATACAGTTGTAGATCATATCAAATATTCAAGTGCCATCATAAAGCTTTAACTTACAACCGCCTTCAACAGCAGTCGTTTGAACTGCAGATATTTTAAAAGCATCCGCCGAGATCTGTAGATCCTTCTTGGACAATCCCCATCAACCGCAGTCATGACCTCTGAGAACTGCTTGTGTTAGTTTTATAAAAAAAAAGATAAAAAATCGTGATCCTCCGACAACCGCGATTTTTTAATTAAGAACCGACTGAAACCGGCGTTTTTCCGGTGTTCAACCGGCGAGAACCGGTTTGTTATTCGCATGAACCGGCTTGACTCACGTATAAAACAAAAACACACGCGGTTTCATGTGAGGTTTAGCGGGTGTACATTCGCATCTGGAAATTGAGAACCACCCGCAACCACTGTTTTTAACTCCCACCCGCTATGAAGTTCATTTCATTTCCTAGACATATAGTATACTATTTATGTTATAGACAGAATGTGAACTATCTATTCATATATACGAAACATAAATTCTCACTTTGAAATAAGAGAAAAAGAATTGTTTTGCGTTCTTGTAATTCAAGAAAATGACTAACTATATCCATCAATAAAATCCCTTGACGTGAGTCGCGGCGCGAAATAGCGATATGGTAGTGATTGCGCTAAATAAAAACTCATATGAATTCGAAATCTATCTGAATCGAATTGATGCAGAATTCAGAGTCCCGTCGTGACTTCGCGACATTATAGCAATCGCGCAGCGACTCTTAAAAAAAATTCTTTTTATAATAAGAATCGGTCAAGATCACGCCGCGACTTCGCCATATTATAGCGATCGCGACGCGAATATAAGATTTCATCGCGATTGCGCCGCGACATGCAGGATATCATAGGGATCGCGGTAGCGACACCGCGAATGACGCGTGACAGTGGACCTGGGTAAAATTCCAAAAAGTACTTTTTTGGAGCCAGATTTGGATGTAGAATAAGAAAAAACTGATTTTGAAATTCTAAAACAAGAGTAAAAGGCCGAGTTTTGAAATTGAAATTTTTTAATCGAAAAATGTGTTCACGAATTATGAAATTTACTTTTTCTATGTAACTCGATGTGCTCTATCCAGATATGATGAGAAAATCGAAAAATAAAATCCTCCTTAACTTTTAAATATCGAGCATTGCATCATGGTTGTTTTTGCTGTAGGTATACATTAAAAGAAGCGACGATAAAGACATTGAAGAATTAGATATGATACAGAGAATGAAAGAAATGTTACAAATGGAGAATCCAGATGTACAATAGTCGATGGTTTATTCGAGGAAGACATCTCAATTGCGACGTTTTTTCATTCTTAACATAGAAGAACATTCAGCCGAGCCGCTCTGGACGGATATGAGGGATTTAAACAGCCCTTTTTGGTACCCAACTATAGAGAAAAACTCGATGTTCCAAAGAATATTGCGATGGTATAAATGAATGGTGTGATTTAAATAACACTGCGTCTGCGTGGACGGAAAGCGAAGGGTTCCCTCAATCGTGTGTACATCTGGCTGCTGAAAACTGCAGATTGCTATCTGGGCTCTCGAGGACATTAGATTTTGAAATGGATAGTATCTACGTATCTCGTTTTTTGTTTGTTTATCACTATGAAAGAAGAAGAACAAAAATGACAGATTACTCAAAGATACATAAGCCCTTATGGAGTCAATTTAAGCTTCTTGTGCTCATACCAGTAGAGTCCTGCGGGTCTGACATTTTCGATTCCGAACTCTATCCGGTCCCGTAGACTTGAAATCGTCCCGAATCCGAAAAAGAGTGATCTGAATCCCAATTTTTCAAAATTAAACCCACTTCAAGCCCACTTGAATCTGAGAATCTTTTCTAGTGAAGAGATACTCTCTTTCATTTTAACATTAGTAAATTTCTATTAGTAGAGGTACAAAAATAAAATTCACTTGGTCCGTTGTACGACTAATGCGAAACACCTGTCTGTTTTCCTTATTTTCTATTATTTTTTATTTATTTAGAATTGTCTCTTATCTCCCCTCTATATCAAACTAGAAGAATCGGGATCGGAAACAATCCCGATCTCGTTCAGACCTGTAAGTCTTGAGGACTTTGATATCACTCACGTACAGCAAGCCGTTCTTTACTTATTACTTACCGTTCATCGAAACAAAAAATAATTTATTGTCGACAGTTTTCCGGACCACCCAGGTGATAGAATCGTACTATCCGACCGTACAAGATCGTATACGAATCGTACGAGATCATATACGATTATGTACGATTTACATACGAATCGTGGTGTCTGATTTGTCCTCTGGTTCGTACTATACGAATTCATACGAAGTTGTATGATCGTATATGATCTACTACGATCGTATTATACGATTCAGAGGACAAACCAGACACCACGATTCAGATATGATTTTCATACGATTTGGTACGATTTTGTCTGATTCAGATACGATCGTATACGATTTGTTGGATCTGGGTAACACTTGACTTTTAAAAAAATTTCAATATCAGGTTCTTGCTACCTACGCCACTCTTAAAATTTTTCTAGATCAATTTTCTCGAAGTCAAAAATTTTTTCGCTTTATTTACTATATCATGTGAAAGACCCACATTGTAAACAGATAAAAAGTTTTTCCTCCAGAGTGCCGGTGCATTTAGCTGAAACTCGACTAGATCAAAACCAGCTGGAATAAAAAGAATATGAAAAGAACTATGTACAATTTTGTCTCATCAAAACTAAGCACTGGTCATCTACTAATTATCATACAAATCATATATTCGATTAGGTTCATTCATTATGTTGGCATTGTGGACAAGAAATTGGCTTTTGATCTTTGCCAACATATGTGTGACCTATAAGAAAATGTTAAAAGAATTTTTTTTCTTCTCCATTCTCACAACAAAAATGTCTTACCGTTTACGCAATAGAACCAATTCTCCTGCCTTGAATCTATCGTAGTGGTAGATCTTGACATTTGTATGCTTCTACGTACACCAAGCACGGGTATATTCAATTTTTCAACCAGGTGGTTGAAAATCTTGTAAAATATTTCACAATCATTTGTCGTAAACGAACTATATTTTGTTGTTAATGTTTTTAGTTCATTTAACATTTTTTGACAATCGATATCTGGTTCAATACTCTTGAGTTGCATTTCTTTCATCAACAAATGTAGATACATAAAACCCTTTATTCTATCTAATTCTTGTTTTATATCGTTCAATTGTTGTGGAGTATAACGATATTTATATGCGCCCATGAATGAAACGACAAGACCAATCCAATAATTGACTTTCTGATTGACTTCTTGGTCTTTATGCATAAATGCATTCTTAGCAAATAACAACAAAGGATCTAGCTCTCTAAGAAGAACCAACGTATTTTCAACATAATTCAGTTCATCTTCATTCATTGATTTTTCTTCCATGATGTTTAAACTTTTAATTATTGTTCGTACAGATTCACTTGATGATACATAAAAGTTTCTTCGGATTATCAGCTTTTGTTGCTTCTGGTATGATGCTTTGCTATCCTGTTGATTTGATTTGACTTTTTCAATCCACGAGTGAAGATGATTGAGGATATGTTGATACCGTTTACATTGGTAAATTTTTGCTGCACATCTTGGGCATTTTGGAAGACGAATAAAACGATGTTCATCTTGTTGCGCCATAAAATTATTCATATATTGATCAAGTTCGGTCCTCTCAATAGCATGCCCGCAATTTGATAGCTGTACAAAATGAGTGTTTTGATCAGTAGTTAATTGATTGCAAACACGACACAAGGAGGGACATGGTTCACCATCAAGACCAATGCCTTCAGAATATAGAAAAAGTCTTTTAAAGTCGTTTAACTGAGCAAGCAAGACTCACATGGATGTTTGCATTTCAATAATCTTTTGCAAGGTTCATTACACGCTTCACGATTACATGGCTCACCGCATAGTTTTGTACATCGACGATGTTCGCATGACGAAGTACACGGTTTTTTGCACAAAATCATGGCTTCACTGCATTTTCGATTTGATTTTTGATGTTGACACAATTTTTCTGATGATCTTGAACATGGCGGACATAATTCACCGCAGAAACCAGAACAACTCTAAATATTAACATTCAACGCTTTGTCCATGTTTGCACATTTAACTTACATGTCCACAAATCAGTTCTTTGTCACATTTCTCCCGGCATTGTTTATGCAATTGACCATGCTGACAAGAGCCGCATGTTCCACGACATTTATGACCGCATAGTAATTGTTGATTACATGGTGTAGGGCAGTCGACAGAGTCATACACCTTTAATTGATTAATTTGGCACGGAACTTGAACTAAATGATCACATGGCAATTTAATCAGAAACGTTTGTTTACAATCTTGAATAGTTGGTATTTTAGAACATTCAAACTTAATTGGATGTTGACATTCGACAATCTTTTTATCAACGACGGCTTTACATCGACCATGCTCTTGCGGATCTAAAGGGTGGCAATTCAGCTGACATTTGTGCTCGCATTCAGATAGTGATGCGTTGCATGTCTTTGGACATGCAATTGTCTCGTGATTCAAATCAAAATTATGACAATGTAAAAAGCATTGATGACCGCCGAGTAATCGACTATCACAAAACCTGTTACATCCGCCTGTAAAAAGAAAAGACATATTCATTGCGTCCACATGCTTTTGTAATCACTCATAATTAGTACTAGATTAGCACAGGTATCAGTTATTAACTAACATCGATAAATCCAAACCGAAATACACCAGTACTCGCTTTGTCAGAGAAAAAGATTATTCATATTATGTTTATCTGTTATTATTTTGAATCAGTGAGCACGGAAAATAAATAGACTAACATAGCAGTTATAACTCTCTTTTCATTTATTTACGTAGTGAAATACATAACAGACAAAGTGTGAAGTTGTTCTCGACCAATTATTCACAGGCTTTGTCTTAAAAATAACTTATGAATAAAGAATTGTTTGATTTAAAAAATCAACGATTATGAATATTAATCTCTTATATTGCTAGTATTTTCAAAGTCTCTATTTATGTTTTAGTTGTTTTGTGTTCAATAGTGTAAAACTTCTTCGGTCTAAACTGAGTATCAATTCATTTCGGTCGGATTAACTGGATCACCACATACCTAATTGATACTTACCGTCTGGTCGACGTGCGAATGATTGTGGATTTACAGCAACAAACGGTGCTTTGGGATGGTTAGTACAACAAAGATTCAAGCCTAAAACGGAAGTCGCTTTATTTATCTATCATACCGGAGAAGCTACGAAAGTTCTTTTTAATTCTCTAGGAAGAGACTAAATATTTCTTACTATCTTTACAATTGAAATTCAAAGCAATCCTATTAAAAACACAGAAAGGAAAGGTCCTCAGACACATTAAAAGGACAGAAACATTTAGACTACGTTTGTCATCAATGACTGCTGAACTCACCTTTACCAACAGCTTTCATTTCATGAAATGTTTTAGCTAGATTTTTCCACATTTCACTTGTTTTCTGCATCATTTCTAAATTACCCAAAATGTACAGGCCACATCGTGCTCGTGAAAGAGCAACACAAATTCGATTTTGAATTTTGAGAAATCCAACATCATTAAGTACATTATTTCGAACCAATGACAAAATGATTATATCGTTCTCCTCTCCTTGGTAATTATCAACTGTGGTTATTTGAAGACCTTCTAATACTTTGGAAAATTTTCGTTGTTTTAGTACAGTTAATAAGTGTTTTTGGCCAATGTACATAACCAATACCGTTATCTGAGATGTCGAATAGCCTTGTTTTGTTAGAAAATGCGCTAATTCAATGATATATTGTGCTTCATAATAGTTTTGCTTTGAACTATTGTCAGTCACTTCTTCTTTATGAGAATGTGTAATAAAAAAGACATTTTCTCGAATTCCAAGAATAGATGGTCGATTTGATTTCACACTGTCATGATTCTGAAGATCATTGTAAAAGTGTTTCATTAATGCGCAAATTTCTAGACGCATTCGATGCTAAACAATAACAAACTGAAGACAATCTGATACACAAAACTTTCTATTCAGTTAGTTATACACTTTCTGATTTGTATTTAGTTTTTGCTTAATCAGTTATCTTTCGATTCTTATACACTTACCACTTTAAAACAAATGTTCCACTACGATAATATACTTCCTTCTCCCTTACTTACCTGCACATTTAATCGTACAGATGGAAAATCATTTCTCACGAGACGTTCGAAAAGAGAAACGTCGATATTATATGTTTTTGCCAGACGATAAACAGTTGGATTCGGTCTTAATTGTTGATGATCACCAATTAAGATCAAATGTTCGCATTTTTCTGTTAACGAACTAATTACATGAGCTTCGAATATTTCGGCAGCTTCTTCAACAATAACAATTTTACAGCCTAGACGAAATAATATAGAGAACATTGCTATGATTGATCAGACTTACTAAACCTAATTTTTGTAAAACATCGAAGTATTTCGCAGCGCCGGTCGTTGTCTGAAACATAGACCTGTTTGCCTACAACATCGTAGATGAATAGAAGAGCTTACCATAGCAATTATAATGGCTTTTCTCAATATTTGATAGTCTTCAAGCTGTAAAATTTTCTGATGTTGAATCACAGCATTTTCATAGGAAATTCGAGCACGATGAATGTCGGCTAAATTTACGAAAAAGTCAAATCAAATTATATCAATGTTAATTACACTATTGTTAATAGTATAACCGACCAACCACTAGTAAACTTAATAAATACATATAGAATATAGACAAAATGATGGTTGTCTGGTTCCAGAATAATCAGAACTGAAATCTGGCTTCGTTAAGCTGTCACCATATGTGATAACTTGGAGAAAACCTCTAACTGTGTTTTATCTTCAAAAAAAGCCCCGCCTCCTCTGTATTCTACACTTGCCAAGATATTTCTGTCGAAATTTTTCTACCCAGTATCGATACAAATCATGTCTTTCTTCCATGGATAAATCCCATATATCGTCAATTTCTCCCACTTGTTCCTCTGTCATTTTCGATGTTGTATTCAGGATTTTTTGGATTAGTTTTTTACGTTGGGATTTACTGATTGCTACACTGTAATTTGGAATTAATTTCTAGTTTATGGAAAATCGATCTGGAAAATCGTGGAGCTTTTTCTGATATTTATAAAATGCTCGTAGATTTTCTGACTTTTTAGAAATTCGCGATTTTCTATTTTCT